CAGCTCGTTCGCCGACACCGAAAGTTGGATCGAACTACCAGCGTTAAGAGGTTTTGAGCAGGCTGCGCCCACTTTTATCACATATGCATCCAGAAATCACTTTATACACTATACACATGCGGAAAATCAGGAAAACACCCATGCAGCCAGCCCGCTCGCAGAGATTCGAATGTTTGACCGAACTACCAGTGTTCAGCGGTTTTACCCGGTATCCGCGCGCTGTATTCACGTATGCGACCAAATTTTATGTACAGTACCCCGGAATTCGAAAGTTGGACCGAACTACCAGTGTTCTGTAGTTTTGCGCGGGCTGCTCCCCGCTTTATTCAAGTATGCATGCAGAAGATACCGCATACACGTTACACATGCGAAAAAATCCCGAAAACACACATTGAGCCAACACGGTCGCTTGGATTCGAAAGTTGGACCGAACTACCAGTAATCAGAGGTTTTGAGCGAATTTCGGCCGCTTTATTCACTTATGCATCCAGAAGATGCTGCGTACACGAGGCACATGCGTAAAATCACGCAAACACCCATGGACCCAGCCCGTTCGCCGGGATTCGAAATTAGGACCGAACTACCAGAGTTCAGCTTTATTCATTTATGCATCCAGAAGACACTGCATACACAACAGATATGCGTAAAATCACAAAAAACATGAGTGTAGCCTGCCTGCTCACCGGGATTCGAAAGTTTACCGTATACCATCTCAAAGGAGCAAAGAAAAATCTTTAATCTAAAAAAAAAAAAAAAAAAAAAAAAAAGTGTGAATTTAATTTTTATTGGTGCGAACTTATTTAAAATATCATTTGCATTAAAAGATAATATCTAAATTAAGTGCACGTATCTAATAACATAAAAAAATATATTATTCCAAAAAATCAAATTTATTATTAAAAAATAACAACATATTTTTAAAAAATAGCTTTTTCAGATTTTTTAATTAATATCCCAGCTGATTAAAGTTGTACAACTTCAAGAACGTCATCATTTAAATTTAATGTAATATAATAACTTTTATTCAATATCAATAAAAGAATTAACGTGACAATCATCCTAACCTGAAATTAAAAAAAAATTGTGAAAAGCAGCAGCTGTTTATTTAAAATGCCTACATTAACGAAATATTTTTAAAATACAGTTAGGTAACATGCAATCGCGTGCTTTATTCAACTTTAGAATATAACCTTGATTTGTATCTGCGGCGATTCAAGAAACTGTTGCAATCGGAAAAATGAGCCCGAAAATTAGCGTTTTCACAGTTTTTAATTAATATCTCAGCTGATTAACGTCCTACGAAGATGAGAATGGTATCATTGGATTCGTAGAATTTTTTGGAATCCGCAGACACCTGCCTCGAATTCCAACTCAGCGCCGTTCCATAGATATTTAAGAAAAAAGAAATTGACACGTGACCTTTCGCCAGCACAAATCTCGAGCGGAAGCAATTGTCATCCCCCCGGCGCTTTCGAAAAAGCAATTTTATCTCAGCTAATTCCGAGACGGTTGCCACTCCGAAAAATGAAATAACGTTTTCGCAGTTTTTAATTAATAACTCCGCCGATTATTGTCGTACGAAGATGGGACCGGTATCGATGGATTCGTTGATTTTTTTCGAATACGGGGATATGCGTTTCGAATTCCAACTCGGCGCCGTTCCGCAAGATATTCGAGAAAAACGAATTTGGCACTCGGCCAAATCCCTAAAATAGGGGAAACCCGTGAAAGAAAGTGCAAAACGTAGGGAAACGTAGGGGAAAAAGCAGTTTTTAATTAATATCTCGGCTAATTAAAGTCGCACGAAGATGCCGATGGTCAATATGGCGAGCCACGGGCATTCTGAATCCAACGGTACCTTCCGCTAAGCTCTACACCCAGCCGTTCCCGAGGAGATGATGTTACAAACACACAAACAGACAGAGGCACACAGATTTTAATAGTATAGACTAGCGGGCAAGCCCGCCAGCTGAGCGGGCTGAAGCCCGCTGTTATTGGCCTTTATTTGAAAGTTGGACAGACCGTTCGCCGGGATCGAAAGTTCGAGCGAACTACCGGTGTTTAGAAGTTTTGAGCGGGCTGCGTCCGCTTTATTCACATATCCATCCTGAAGATCCATCCTGCATACATGATACACATGCGGAAAATCACGAAAACACTTAGGCACTCAGCCCGCTCGCCGGGATTGGAAAGTTGGACCGAACTACCAGTGTTCAGCGGATTTCATACATGATACATATGTTCAGCGGATACTGCATACATGATACATATGGCTAAAATCACGAAACCACCCATGCAGCCAGCCCTTTCGCGGGTATACGAAAGTTAGACCAAACTACCAGTGTTCAGCGGGCCGCGCCCGCTTTATTCACCTATGCATCCAGAAAATACTGCATACACTATACACATGCGGAAAATCACCAAACACCCATGCAAGGAGCCCGCTCACCGCGATTTGAAAGTTGGACCGAACTACCGGTGTACATCGATTTTACCTGGGCTGCGCCCTCTTCATTAAGGTATGCAGGCATAAAATACTGCATACACGATACACATGCGGAAAATCACGGAAACACCCAAGCAGCCAGCCCGTCTTCCGGAATTCGAAATTTGGACAGAACTACCAGCGTTCAGCGATTTTACCCGTGCTGTGCCCGCTTTATTCACGTATGCATCCACAGGATACTGCATATACGTTGCACATGCGGAAAATCACGAACACACCCATGGAGCCAGCCCGCTCGCCGGGATTCGAAAGTTGGACCCAACTACCTGTGTTCAGCGGATTTGCGCGGGCTGCACCCGTATTATTCACATATGCATGGAGAAGATACTGCGTACTCGATACACATGCGTAAAATTACGAAAACACCTATGCAGCCAGCCTATTCGTCGGTTTTCGAAATTTGGATCGAACTACCAGTGTTCTGCGCCCGCCTTATCCACGTGTGCATCCACAAGATACTTCATAAACGTTAAAAATGCAGAAAATCTCGAAAACACACATGCTGTCAGCCCGCTTGCCGGGATTCGAAAGTTGGACCGAACTACCAGTTTTCAGCATTATATTCACGTATTCATCCAGAAGATACTCCAAACACGATACACTTGCGTAAAATTACGAAAACACTCATGCTGCCAGCCCGCTCGCCAGGATTCGAAAGTTGGTCCGAACTACCAGTGTTCAGTGGTATTGCGCAGGCTGCGCCCGCTTTATTAATGTATGCGCCCCCAATATCTTGCATACACAATACACATGTGGAAAAGCACGAAAACACCCATGCAGGCAGTCCTTGCGCCGTGATTCGAAAGTTGGACCGAACTACCAGTGTTCAGCGACTCAGCCGCTAATGGGCCGTTGTACGAAATATAATCACGAATATTTTCGGGTTTATTATTCCAAGAGAATATTCTTTATGAAAATTCATTTTTTTAAACATCAACAGAATCCGCACAAAATTACAAAAAAATTGTTTCACAAGAATACAGTTAAATCAAATTTAAATAACTCTTGCGCCATTGCTGCAAGGAATGAAATTTGAGTTTAAGAAATATTCTCTATTCGTATAAAGCTAATATTCAATTAAATTTTAATTGTAAAAAAAGATAATTATTATTTTTGCTGCGAATTAATTTACAATATCATTTAAATTCAAACAGGATATGTAAATTAAGTGGATGTATCTAAAGCCATGAAAAAATATATTATTCGAAAAAAATAATTTATTATTCCAAAAAATAATAACATATTTAAAAGAAATAGCGCTTTCAGGTTTATTTAATTAATATCTCAGCTAATTAAAGTTGTACAACTTCAAGAACGTCATCATTTAAATTTAATGTAATATAACAACTTTTACACAATATCAATAAAAGAAATAATGTGGAAATAACCTACCGCCGCAATTATCCTCACCAGACATAAAAAAAATTGCAAAAAGCAGCAGTTTATTTAAAATACCTACATTAACGAAATATTTTCAAAATACAGTGAGTTAACATGCAATCGCGTGCTTCAACTTCAGAATATTAACCTTGATTTTTTATTTCCGGCCGTTCAAGAAAAATGAGCATAAAAATTAGCGTTTTCACAGTTTTTAATTAATATATCAGCAGATTAAAGTCCTACGAAGATGAGAATGGTATCAATGGATTCGCAGAATTTTTTAGAATCCGAAGATACCTGTCTCGAATTCCAACTCAGCACCGTTCCATAGTTATTTAAGAAAAAAGATATTGACACGTGACCTTTCGCCATCACAAATCTGGAGCGGAAGCAATTGTCCCCCCCCCGGCGCTTTGCAGAAAGTATTTTTATCTCATCTAATTCCGAGACAGTTGCCACTCCGAAAAATGAAGTAACGTTTTCGCCGTTTTTAATTAATAATTCCGCTGATTATTGTCGTACGAAGATGGGACCGGTATCGATGGATTTGTTGATTTTTTTCGAATACGGTGATATGCGTTTCGAAGTCCAACTCTTTTCCTTCTAAAGTCCTTCACGAAGGTATCCCTCCACTTAGGCAGATAGCTCTCGTGTGCTTTGTCATATTTGTAAAACCTAACCCCAGGAATTTTGCGTATTAGAAACAACCACACCTTAATAATAGTATTTGAATATAAAGAAGCAATATGCAACTTAAATGTCAGAAAATGAATATCTGAATATTATTCTATAGTTGACACAGCTGCTACAGCACAATTTTAAAATTCAGAAATAGCATTTCAACCTTTATTTCATTCCTTTAACCAAAAAGAGAGCTAAAAATAGCTCGTAGCAACTGTGGCAACAACATATACGCCAGAAGATTTAGTTTTACCTTTAAAGGGCATCAGATGCATCTTTATTGAATTCTTTTATTGAATTTTTATTGAATTGAGGAGACGTGTTCTGTTTTGATAGTAAAATCCTCCTACATGAAAGAAAATTGCTTCATCTGGTGAATCTTTAATGAAGCAATAAAATGCTGAATGCGGAATACTAGTAAATGCTTTCTTTTAAAAATAGCTGTGTGTTTTATGGTTGAAGCTTATCAGAATACTATATATTTCAGACACCTGGGTGGCTTACTTAGATTGAGGTCTCGAATTTCAAGTAAGTAACAAAGAATTTCCCCTTTCTATTCTTGATACTTTTTTTCTATGTATGAGTATCTATAACAGAAATACTTGAGCTACTGGTAATAATGCTAAATAGTTCAGTGCCCAAATGCATATTAACAATATCAAAATATCCACCTTTTCAAAAATTTTTATTGCTCTTGATGAAGAGAAGATGTTTGATCGTCCTAGAAATTAAGAGAATTTTATTAAAAATTTAATCTAAACTAAGGTTTCTCTTTCACTTAATTTAACACGTTCCCTGCCAGACTGTTTTTTGAAGACTTCCCGTTCAAGCCGTGTGGGGCGTATGCTTACACTTTACATTTGTATTATTTTGTTTCTGTCGTATGCCTTACAATAATTAAAATAGCGCAAAAATCATAATTATCAAGGAAAGGTTGTATAGTTTAACATGCATAACACAACAAACCAATAAATTTATTTTTCTAGGAATTAGTTTAACAAATACCTGGCTGAACATTACTATGCCAATACGCCCCACGATTAAATGAGGGCATCAGCAGTAGTATTAAGAGAAACCCATAATTGACTGCATAATGAATTTTTAAAAAATTCTTCATTTTACAATGATAATACCAAATGGCTTGAACGGAAAGTTTAGCGCGGCAGGGAACGTGTTAAAATCGATCTGTTTGTTTGTAAATTGTCAGTTCAATAAATTATAATCTGAAAGGTAATTTAAAGATTTTATGTCCTACTGAAAGGCAGCTCCCTGAAAATTAATTATTTGCAAAGCCACATGATAGTAAAATTAATTAAGACTTTTTGTTACATCCGTTGGTAAGATTTGACTTTTTGAATGGATGATCATTATCGCGGTAAGTTAATATAAGCTAGATACCTGTAGCCCTAAAAATTTTAAAATCCATTAAAGACTTATCCAATGTCAAAACAAAATTAATTTTACTTAGCTTTCAAATTTTGTCGGTCCAGCAAATCCATAAAATTACAGTTTGTATGTAGAATTCTTATACCTTCTTGAGAAAAGTGAAAAGAAAGAAACAAAAGTGAAAGAGAAAGAAGTTAAAGAAGCATTGAAATAAATGTAATACTGTTACGTAGACATTACGTACGAAAATGAAAAGATTATCATTATTTCTTTATACTAGTCGCTTGCTCTGGAAGCAGCCTAAAATAGTTATTATAAAAAAGAAATACAAATAATGGTTTAATGAGTCCAGCTAGTATAATTTCACTATTCTAGCTCGTAATTAAGAATACTAAAGATTAAAAATGCATTTATTGATTTTAAACTGGTTAGTTTTTATTCAATGAAAGACGGGATAAATTTGAAAAGTAAACATTTAATGATTTGCCGAGGCAACAAACTAGCCCACGGAAGTTAAAATGTATCACTTCGGACAATGACAATTTATTTTTCTTAAATCGCTGAGTTTGTTAATTAAATTTAAAAGGCAACTACCTGACATTTCGCCGAATGCAACGCAATTTTTTTTAAATCGCTAAGTTTTTTGATTAAATCTGAAACATAAATATTTTAAGCTTTCCCGATCGACAACGCACTGTTTTTAAATCGTTGAGTCTGAAAATCAAAATTTAATTAAATTCGTCAGAACTTGAATAAAAAATAAATTCGAAAGTCAAAATTAGTCTTGAGGTGCATATGTTCGGATGAAGGATTATGTTCCAAATTTGATGGTTCTAGAAGACGCCGTTTTCCCAGAATGTGAAGAAAATACATACCTATCTACATACAAACAAGCATATTCTTCATTGTTTAATGACAGAGATTGTAAAAATGAATTTATCTGATAACATTTTAAGTAACAATAGAAAAATGTCTAATTAATTATTTTATACGATTAATTTTACGGTTGACACTGTACTCGAAAATCGTTTCAAATTTTGATAAGTTCCGCGGAAGGCAGTTTGGAAAACTTTGTGCGAGAGAGAAGAATGAGCGATTAGGTCTTACGTAGTTTGTTCGCAAAGAATGATGAAAAATAATTTGAAATTTGAAAATTATTCGGGCACTTTATAAAAAAAAAATAATGATACAGTTTTAGCTGCTATTAACTAGAAACAAAAGTTATGAAATTATCTTTGCACGTCATATTTTTGCTCTGCGAAGCTTTATTTGAAACAGTTTTGTTGTAGAGCAGTTTTGCAGTGCCTTAGTTGTCGGAACATGTTTTATGGAACATCACTTGATCGTTTCATGCTCTTATCTGAGAAACTATTTAACCCAAAATGTTTTTGGAAAAAGCTGTTTCACAAGCCTTCAAATATGTTTAATTTTTCGAAGCTTTGCACCAGGTAAGTGCCTATTCATTGATTATTGTACACTGATTATTAAAACACTAAGAAACCAGTTATATAGAATTCCAATTATTCGGATCGCTTGTTCTTTTTTCAGTCAAATAACAGTAGTCAAATAACATTAAATTAAGTCAAATAACATTAAATTTAATTCTAATTTCTTAACAGTTCAATAAAAATTAGATAGTTACATAATATATGTAGTCAAAATCATCTTTTAATAATTAGATTACAGTGCAAATTTTCATAAAAATTGTAAATTATATATATTTAAAAATTAAATATCTTAGTGAATATTAATTAGAATATTCATATTAATGATGAAACATGAAATAAAATATTTGAATTATGAAGAAATGGATTTATTGATTTCAAGATACTCTTTACCGAATAATAATATTGTTACGTGCTTACGGGTTCGTAATAGACTGAATGCACAAATCCGATAATAAGTTAATAAAATGTATTCTTATCGAAAGAAATATATCAGAACGCTGGAATTTTCCTCAGAGATATTCGTACAAGTGTTCACAATATCACGCATCAGTAGTTATTCTTCAAACTACTAAAACGTTAAAATACAACCTAATGCAACGCATATCTAAAAAGAAAGCTAAATCTGATATCGCACTTCATGCGGAACTAAGCAACTCGTAATAATAGTAACTAAGCAACTTAATTGAGACGCCCCTTTCTCTCTGGCCTTTTATGGTTTTCAAGCTGTCGCGAGAAATTTCTAGCAATTTATGCTTCTTGAGATTTCTGGAAAGCAGTAAGAGGATGTAATTATGGTTACAGCTAACACAGTGGTCAATTACATTTATTCAGTTTCATTACAAATTAACGAGATAACCATTTATTCAAATTTAAATGCACGTGCTCCTGTATTTGTAATTTTCTGGCATAGCTTTCTCTTAAAATTTGTCTCGCGCGTCATTGTACAGGGATATACTACAATTTTAATTACATTTCTTCTAAAATTATCTATTTAAGTACAAAATTCATAACAATATGTTGATTAAAATTAAAGATCGTACGTTTTGCCCAATAGCAACACTCCCAGAACTGAACATGCGTGATACTATGAGAAAAATGAATTAAAAACTTATATTTTGCGCTTTGGCAATATTTTCTGAAGGAAATGAATGATAACATAATGTAAGGTAATGAGCGTAACATTCTAAAATTTTTAGAACAACTTCGCTAAGGGCATTTCTAACGTCATATGATAATATGCTCTTGTTTTAGGAATTGCTATGAAGAGTCAAAAGAGCTCTATCGCTTTTCAGACATGTACGCCAGTATAATTAATATATAATAGTAAGAGCCAGTATAATTGTTTATGAAAGTAAATAAATGAATCGAACAGACATCGAACAATTCATAGGTTAAGTCTGTGTCCGAAAACAATACAAAGCTAAAACGTCGAGGTATAAAACATCGTGAGAGAAAAGAAAGCAAAGAGAAAACATCGCATTCTAAAACATCGTGTACAAAATATAGTGGTTGAAAATAATGCTGCTCCAATAACTTCGCAGTTTAAAAATACCGTCATCAAAAATATCGCGGTAAAAAATAAGTACATACAAATCATCGCATGACGATAACATCGCACACATGCATTTGTCAGGTCTTAAAAGCTGTAAATACATTTTCGCATAATGATATGGGAGCGAAAGAAAGAAAAGAGGGATATATTTACTTTTATACTCGTATTTCATATTTTTGAATGAACTAATAAACGTTTGCTAAAAAAGTAAGAAACTTAAGCATCTAAAAACTTAAAATGAGTAGAACATGAATGACACTTTAAGCAACTAACAAAGGTTATTAATAAATTAATCTTTTTTATAAAGTTTTATTTACAACTTTTCGTGTAAAATACAGCCTAGAAATATTTAGAAAAAGAAAGATAACTGCATGAGATTACCTTAATTAATTATCAGATTACCTTCTTTTAGGTTTGTTAATCTAATACTGTTTTGTAAAAAATTATATCTTGTTCTGTTTCTCTTTATTCTTACAGTATTGTTAACATTTCTTGCGTTTTCAAATCTTTATGCGAATATTCATTTACAACTTTTAAAACCTGAAAAACGCATGTGTGCGATGTTGTCGTCATGCGATGATTTGTAGGTGCTTCAGCTTTACCATAATATTTTCGAAAACGATGTTTTAAACTGCGAAGTGTATGAACCGCTTTATTTTCGATGTCGATATTTTGTACCACCATGTTCTTATGTTTATGTTTTAGAACGGCGTATGCGAACAATAACATTACAGTATGACTGTGTTTATTTTACATATATAAACTCGGTACAAACGCTTCTGAGACAAGCCGAAAAATTAGTATTGCATTTTAAAACGATGTATAGAAAATCGGACTACACAGAGTTCGTTTTAAAAATTTCCTCTCCGGTAGAGACAGATTAGCAACTAGAGCCGCAAGGCTCTGAGTCTAGTTATTAGGAAGGTAATAGTTGGACCTGCAAGTCCAATTATTAAAGAGCTACAAATCATTCTATAACTTTTCATGATCTTGTTTTCTTTCAAGTGTTTTCTTTCAAGGAAAAAAAAAAAAAAATTAGTTGCATTTCAAAGAACTCTTTGTTTAGGACTCGAACTATCGTTAGTCAGGCCGTGGATTTGATTGTTTTCCAGAAGATACGCCATGGTTCGAAAGAACATTTGTTAATAATAATGCTGATCTGACCAGTGCAATCTCGCTAACAATTCCTCCTTTGTATGTAAAAGCTTCAGGAGGGTTGATGAAACTATCGTTTTGCATCTGCGTCAAGAGAAAAAGCAGTAAAATTAAGCAAATAGGTGCCGCACACACTTGACATAAAGCAAGAATACTTAGCCCTGCATCTGCTTAAGACTCATATCCCATCAAAAGAAGCGTTCTGAAAATTCTTAATGGCGTATGATGAGAAATGAGTCTAGTATCTCATCAGTAAGCAGGTCAGATTCCATTCGTTCAAAGAAGCTTATTTTATGAACATTAGCTAGCATTATTATACATTAAGAATTCCTTCCTCAAGTGGAAATAATTATAGATGAGTTTTTGTTTCGGTAAACCGTAAGCTTTTTTTACATAAATTTTTCTCGTTATTTAAAAACATAAATTCGGAATGTTTTAGGTTACGCATCATTTGTTATATATTCGTTACTTCTCATTATAAAAAAACTAAATTTTTGACAGGTTCGAATAATTTGTACTGTAATAATATCAACTTACGATATATTTCAGACACTGAACTGATATTTTAAGAATTAAATTGAAGTTTTATTTATTTTCTGAAGTCTGTTTGTATTAAAATAAAGTTTCGATTTTTTTAGTTCAGGATGAGTTACAATCTGGCAGTGGAAGCTTCTTGTCCTACGCCATATGCGGCTTCCCAATTTCTTTCCATAATTCTACTGTCTATGGCTGGACAGAGGCACGCTCCTAAAACGACAAATGAAATAAAAAGCAGCTACGACTACATCATAGGTGAGTTAATGTTCCTGACGATGTTAATGTTCCTGTTAATGTTCTCTGGGATTCCTAACTCCTATTTAAAAAAATTGGATCTCTTTATAAAGAGTACATTATAGCGAAATTGCAACACCAAAAAAGAAGTTTCACGACTGGCCAGAGACTATGGCCACTCGGGTTGTTTAGCATGCGAAATATAAATAATTATGAGTTCAGTTTATGCAAATAAGATGAGCCTGCGACGCCGCTTAAAACCAATACAGCGGATGCAAAAGAGAATTATGAAAAGCAAATCCGGAAATTTTCGGCTTATCCTGCTATGATACAGAATTATGTTCTACAAACTGTATATGTGAGGTTTAGTTTCTGTTAACCGAGTTTCTAATTATCTGAGGTGGTTATGGTCCTAATTACATTTGTTAAAAATAAAATGATCATGCGATCTGACAACCATGCGTTTGTAATCGTCTGAATTCTTTTTCTTGATAGGTCTTGCGATAAATGTTTATAAAAACAAATCTTTACAATTCTAATGTAACGGATATTTTTGCTTACTAAGTTAGTTTATTATTTTCTTTTCTCGGATTAATTACACTTGGATTATTTAAATCTAATATGTTTTTGTATAAGATGTGATGTGAATAAAAGTAAGAAAAAATTGGACAACGTGTTCTTCATGCGAGAATCTCCTTAATTTCTCTAGTGATATAATATTATTTTTTTCATTCCGCTACGAAACCCGCGAACCTAGGATTATTTCTTTCGGGTTGCTTCCGGATAGTTCTTGAACTCTTGGATTGCAGGCATCGTAAATTTGTAATTTAAGAGTTTACTTATCAATTCAATTACTATCACTTTAAATTTTGTTGCGTGTATAAAATGAAATTTCTTGACAGGTTGAAGTCCAAGAGGAAAGTCATTAGAAGTGCTTCCACGAAATTAGTTAATAGAATTGACTATATTTTGATAGCCTTGATGTTAATAAAGATGAAAGCGTTCAGGAGAATTTGTCGGAATTTTTGTTAAAGTTTACAAGCAAAACAGAATGAACTTCTAACTTTAATTTTGAAAATCGAAGACCTAATTCATGATAGTACAATGATCGAAAGGGAAATTCAAAGCTAACTCGAGTATAATGAATCTACAAGTAATGTTAAATTCAAAATCAAAATTAAATTAAAAAGGTTATGAAACTGAATATTTTAAATCTTCTCAAAATGTTAACGTTTGGAATCGAATATTCGCAATACATCATCATCTATCAATTTGCCTAAATTACGCATTCCCGCTTTTAATGGCGATTCTGGTTTATTTCAAGAATTATTTAATAGTTTCTCAAGTGAAGTTGACTCTAATGAGTCATTAAGTAATGTTGGCAAGTTCATATATCTGCAACCATTTCTTTCGGGTGATGCTTACAAAATTATTTCGGGATTCGCATTTTCAGAAGAAAATTATAAATCTTGTTTGAATTTGTTAAAGGAGCGATACGGTAAACAAGAACACTTGATTAGTTGTTTCATGAGTAAACTATTAGAAATTGGACCAGTTAAGTTTTCTTCAAATCTCCTAGTACTTAGGTATTTGTATGAAAAAAGAGAAATTAGTATAAGAAATTTAAATTCTATGGAAGTTGCATCCGGAAATTACGCTCATTTTCTTTTACTAATTACATTAAAACAATTACCTCAGGAATTTATAAGTTCGAGAGTTCTTCTATTGGAGTAACGCAAAAGGTGACGTGCAAAAGTGATGTCGATCTTGCGATGCCTGTTCGGGTCGGATAAGACCAAAGAAACTCAGGCAAGGCAAACTGCAAAGTTACAATGTTGGAGAACCTTTTGAACGTATCGCCTTTAACATCTTGGGACCTCTGCCACGAACTGCTGATGGCAACAAATACATCCTCGTTGTCATTGATTATTTCACCAACTGGCCTGAAGCATATCCTATTCCTGATCAAGAGGCTGTCACAGTAGCAGAGGTAACGACACAGCATTGGATTTCCAGGTTCGGAGTGCCTCTACAGTTACGATCCGATCAGGGAAGGAATTTTACCTCGGCTGTATTTAAAGAATTCTGCAATCTACTCGGCATTGACAAAACCCAAACAACACCTTTACATCCTCATTTGGACGGCATGGTAGAAAAGTTTAATCGAACCATCCATAATAACCTTTCCTTAGTGGTTTCCAGAAACCAACAAAAACTGGAACAAAAAGTTACCCTTGGTTTTACTGGCTTACCGAAAAGTGCTATTCACGAGACTACAGGCTATTCCCCATCTCAGATGCTCTTCCGTCGTGACATTCGTTTGCCTTGTGATCTTTTGTTTGCTCGCCCTTCGGATGCACCTTTATCGCCTAAAGAATACATACAAGGTCTCCAAGCTCGGTTTGAAGTGATGCGCAGATTTGCACGAGAGAGAGTCAACTTGGCGACGGAGAAGATAAAGACCCGATACGTCACAAGAGCTAGTGGACATCGATTCAACGAATGAGACAAGATGTGATTGTGGAATCCGACTCGGTGGAAAGGACTCTGTTCTAAACCACACTCACCTTGGGATGGTCCGTACACAGTCCTAAACAGGCTGAACGACTTCGTAGTTCGGATCCGTAAGTCATTGAATTCTAATCCCAAAGTCGTTCATTACCATAAGCTAGCTTCTTAGTATGGCCATAGTACGCAGTGTACGTGATGTAAAGAGTATAAGACCATGGCCCTTTTTGTTTCTAAATTTGTAAATTTGTGTACTTATTATTGATTTAGTATTTGATTTGCTTTATGTTATTTATTGCCATTGTTGTTTACGTTGTTTGTTATTGCACTGTAATGTTTATTATTGCATTGTTGCTTTAGTTGCAAGTATGGCTTCCTGTCCGGGGACTGTACTGCTCGAGACCTGCAGTCTTTGGGAAGGGGGTAGTGTTACGAATTTTTCATTTAGATGGCTAATGTTAGTAGAATTATAATTAAAATTGTTTTATTTCTTCGTGCAAAGCAGCGCGAGAGGAGTTTTAAGGGGGAGCTATGCCAGAAAAGTAAAAATACTGGAGCAGGTGCAATTAATATTGAATAAAATTTTATCTCGGTAATTTATATTTAATTTGAATAAATATAATTGTCTACTTTGTTAGCTGTAATCATAATTCCATCCTCTTGTTGGTTTCCAGAAATCTCGAGAAGCAAAGAAATTACTCGAAATCTCTCGCGATCGAGTAAAAGCTTTAAAAACTGGTGAAAGACATCTCAGCTCAGTTGTTTAGTTGGCTGCTGTTGTTACTGTTGATCGGATTAGCTTTCTTTGTGCTTTGCGTTCTGTCTAACGTTTTTAGTAGTTTAAAGTATAACTACTGATTATTACTGCGTGATATTGTGAACATTTGTAAAATATATCTGAGAAGAAAATACTATCGTCAAAATCTAAATTCACTGAATTACTGATTTGGGAATCACGTAATAAAGTATTTCATTCCGGCGTATCTCACACGCTAGTAACAGAAACATTCTGGATACTAAAGGCCAGAAAAGTTATAAAATTTGTTCTAAGCAAATGTGTTATTTGCAGAAGATTCAGCATTTCTGCAGGAGACCAGATGGTTGTTCTATTACCAGCTGTACGAGTGGAAAAATCAGTCCCATTTACAGTTATTGGGATCGATTATGATGGTCCGTTGTTTGTGAAACATAGTAAATACAAACAATATATTCTATTGATAACCTGTGCATTTAAAAAGAAGTAATCATATGAAACTAGTTAGTAATATGACGGCAGACGCATTTTGCTTGCCTTCCGACGTTTTTATATCTCGAAGAGGCTTGTGTTCGTTGACCTTTTCTGATAATGCATATACTTTCAGACGTGCTGAACTTAAGATGAAATAAATTTGGTCAGTAATGAAACATCCAGAAGTAAAAAAAATTACACTGCTAACGTAATTAAGTAGAAATATACTGTGGAAAGAGTAACCTGGTGGGGAGGCTTTTATGAACGGATGGTGCGTTCCTTGAAAGTTGCTCGACGGAAGACCTTTGGAAAGTCATCTCTGACCACTGAGCAGTTGCGAACTGTTCTTCTCGAGATTGAACGGATGATTAACTCTCGGCCAATTTGCTATCTTGGTAGTGAGTTAGATGAACCACATGCTTTAACTCTAGCACATTTCCTTTTAGGAAAAAGAATATCAGCGTTGTCTTCCGTGAGACTTCATCTTGATTAAAAATTTTCACCCAGGAAGTCTTTGATAAAGGTCTATAATTATTGCGAAAAATTAATGAATTCCTTTTGGTTCAGGTAGAAAAATTAGTATTTATTGAATTTAAGATCTGCCCATTCGAGCTTGGTTAAGAATAATGTTCCCGAATTTAATGATGTAGTTTTAGTTAAGGAGAACTAACCCCGCAATTTTTGAAGATTGGGTAGTATTTCCTGGCAAGGTGAGGGCTTGCAAGGTAAAAACCGAATCACCGGTTATTAGACATCCTGTACTTTATACAATTTAGAACTTCAGAATTGAAGTTTAACCTTCAGTGTTAATTTACAAATATGTATTGTGATTATATTTTTTTATGGCTGCTTGTTAGTTTTCGAAATATTCTGTTAAAATTTTTAGTCCTAGTAGCTTCCAAGCATGAATTTGATAATTAAAAATGTGCTTAAGTTCATAGTGTCACGGTATGCTATCTTAGGGGCCACTGAATAATTTTAGAAAAAATTTGAATATTGTTTTTTGAATTTGGATCATGTTATATTTACATTGTCTAATGTTCCATTTAATTCCCAGTTATTTATAGATAGAGATCTTTTGTTTCCTTTGTCTAGAACTCGAGTGGTTTTGTAGTATGAATGTATACTGTCTATATATAAAGTCTGATGAAACACCCTATGGTTGTGGGGGGAGGCAAGTTGTTAAAAATAAAATGATCATGAGACCAGACAGATGACTGTCGTCTGAATTCTTTTCCATGCGATAAATGTTTATAAATACAAGTCTTTAGACTTCTAATGTAACGGATATTTTTGCTTACTAGGTAGGTTTATTATTTTCTTTTCTTGGATTAATTACACCTGGATTATTTCAATCTAATATGTTTTTGTATAAGATGTGATGTGAATAAATATAAGAAAAAATTGGACAACATGTTCTTTATGCAAGAATTTCGTTTATTTCTCGAGTCATAATATTAATTTTTCAACCTTAGATATTCGGAATTCTGCTGTATATGCAGGTTTTCTCTAGTTGCGAAATAGTAGGATATACTGTTGTCGTGAGTAAAAATTCGTACTTTTCACACCTGACTGCAGGCTCCGATATAGAATGTATACTTAACATCTACAAATTAAAATACTATTCCAGACTTTTGAAAGTATTTAAGATAATTCTATTCACAATTATATTTGCAGATTGTATGCAACCACAATAACATAAAATTTCACTTATCTGTACATCAAGAATAAGCCCAGCGTATTTTTTCTAAACTTGAGAAAACTTTTGTAATTTAAATACGGCAAACTTAGACATAGGATTCTTCATTTTCTGAAACGGAGAAAACTGAGAATTCTGCCTAATATCCGCAGTAGATTTCATTTCATCCAAACTAGAAGTCAATTTCTTAATGCAGCCCTAAAAATCCCTTTTTTTAAATTAACTTTTTTTTTAAAACTCGCGCAACAAATTCTGTAGCCATAGTTATCACTACAGTTGTTGCCAGACTTATTCTCGTAAAATGTGAGAAGTACAACAATCGTAATTCTGAAGCGTGTATAGGTATTTTAGATATATTACTTAAGGCGGAGGTTTGATTTTTCTTTCAGTGGGTGGTGGTTCAGCCGGATCTGTGTTGGCGGCCCGTTTATCTGAGAAACCTTGCGTGACGGTACTATTACTCGAGGCTGGTAAATCTCCGCCAAAGGTGTCGGATATCCCCGCTGTAGCCAAGAGTTTCATCAAGTCGGACATTGACTGGTTCTACAGCACCGCTCCACAAGAATATACTGGGGCTGGACTCATAAACAGGGTCAGTTAATAATTTTTTTCAACATCTCAAAAATTTGTCATCTAATATCAGCAAATGCAGAGAAAAAAAAATGTAGACGCACACAGCTGATCATTATTTACTTATGTGTAACAAGATTTTTACCTGAAACAACGTGAAGTTTTTTGATTCTTATGAGCTAATTTATTTTACTGATTGTTGTGCGATATTGTAAAGTAAAACGATAAAAGGTGGATCTAGTTTCCTCTAACTTTTGTTGGTTAATCTTTACTCTTAGGTTCCACTTGGCGAATCGCTGATTTTTTTGACTCCAACATCGGCGCTACGAAGGATTGGCACCAATTTCGAGATGGTGCCGATCAATTTTGACGCCAACATCGGCAACACAAAGGATCGGCACGAATTTTCAAGATCGTGCCGATGTTTCCACCCCCTACAGAAAATCAATACAAGAAATCAAACACTTAACACAAACTCGGTGCCCATGTACACATCGGCCTATTTTAACTTGAAAAAAATCAGAGAATTACACAAACAAAGCATTGCGCACTAATTTCAATTTGTCCATGTACACATCGATCTATTTTCACTTAAACAAAATCAGAAAGTTAAAACTATCATTCATTTAGAAGTCAAACAACAAAACTCAGCGTTATATTTTCAAATTTTCACAGGATTAGTTTTAATTGTTTTACCGAACTATCAAAATTAACCCTGTGAAAATTTAAAATTATAACGCTGATTTTTGTTGTTTGGCTTTTAAATTGGAGAAAGTGCAGAATCGCCCACTGCTTGGCGCGTTTTTAAGAATTGCACATACACGGCGACCTATTTTCACTTAAAAGAACATCCCAGAATTGCACAAAAGTGGCATTGCGCACACTCTTGACTTTATCCATGTACACATCGATCAATTTTCACTTAAAAAGTCAAAGAAAACTGACAAATATCCAATTCTTCTTACTCTTGTAAAAAGCGCCAATCAAATAAGTGGGCGATCCTGCACTTTAGCCTCTAAATTAATATTTGTTTGGCGTGTTATTGTATTTTACTTAAAACTATCAAGTTAACCAGAAAAATTCGCCGCTGTCTTGACACACAGACACGAACAAATAACCAAAAATACACAAACACAGAGTAATAAATAACCGAAAATACATATTTCTTAACATGAAAACATTAAACAATAAATCTTTCAACAAAAACTAACACACAGACACCAATAAATAAATAAAATTTCATACCTTTTGTTCAAGTGCATACGTTAAAGTCTCCCACCAACATCTTGTAATCTTGACTAGAAGAGAAACACGCTAATGTCACAATCAAAATCGTAAAAACAACCTTGTATTTAACGTTCAAGTAAACGATCTTGTTCAAGTAAGCAATTCAAGGTAAATCTTTACATTATGGTAACTTGGCGATTTTTTGGCGAAAATTTGGCGACCAACCCTGCTACAGCAACTTGCTAGTTTTGTTTTGGATGCCATTTTGTTTTCACCAAGTAAAGGCATGTTTTTTTTTTTTTTTTTTTTTTTTTTTTAACTCAACATTTTTTCCAACAATCTGCTAGCCGAATTACTCTTATACTAGAACTTTTATGGAACAAAAATGCTTAATCATGACGAAGATTAGGTGAAATTGGGAGAAAGTGCAGAATCGCAAACTGCTTCCCGCGTTTTTAAGAATTGCACATACACGGTATCCATGTACACGTCGACCTATTTTCACTTTAAAAAAAATCCCAGAATTGCAAAAAAAATGGCATTGCGCACACTCTTGACTTTATCTACATACACATCGACCTATTTTCACTTAAAAAGGTCAAAGAAAATTGACAAAAATCCAGTTCTTCTTACTCTTGTAAAAAGCGCCAAACAAATCAGTGGGCGATTCTGCACTTTAGCAGCGAAATTGTTTCTAAGTGCTTATTAGCTAAAATCACGATCGGAATTTTTCCGGAAAATGTCACATTACATGTCTCATGATCTCTCATTTCTCCGAGATAAAATAATCTGATTCGAGCTGTGTACTTCTCAGATTATTGCTCAAGTCGTAGCTTGTAACCTTTACCGCCTCATCAAAATGTCACCAAACTACCTGTTACCATATTCTAAAGATTAGACCAATTCAATTAAATATCTGGTCATTTCGGCTCATTCGCTGTTAATAGCGCATAAATACGTATAATAAGAGTCCAAGAAAGCTATAAATCCGTTCCTTCTTATGTACTCCTTCCAGCAGTCAGAAATTATAGTCGTATCCCGAATAATATACTCATTTATAACACTAAGCAAACTTTCAGGCATCACTTTCATAAAGCATCACGCATGTGAAACCAAACACAGAAATTCAAAATCTCCGGTCTACATGAAAGTGTTACCATTACAAAAAATAGCCAAAATCTCAACTTATCATAATACATTTGGCAATATTCGCATTCGCCAACGTTATCAACACTAAGGTTACCAAAAAAACTTACTTCACGCATTGGGCTTCCAGATTTCAGGAACAATCAATACCAGTTGGCGATTTTTTCAGACAGAAACCAAGCGAAACCGTACAGTAAATTTCAACCCCCTTTGCTTAATATTATGTGTTTATAATTTGATTTCGCTTAATCTTATCGCCAAGTTAATCTTATAGCACACTTTACAGTTGCATTTATTTATTTATTTATTTTTCCCTATTCCATTCTGATTCCCATGCATTTAATACCATAGCGAATTTTATGCATTCGTTTCTTGGATTTAGATAATTAGGGACTTAGTCTTAAATATACTAGTTTTCTTAATAACGTTTAAAAGCTCTCTTGCAAAGTTTCTGTTTGATATCAATTGTCGTCTGCATCCAAAATAAAATCCAAGACTGGATAAAATCTAAGATCCAAAATAAAATTTACAGTTATATAAATCTAGTAAAAATATATAACTCGATGGCAAGCCTTTCCGTATATTACCTTTCTCATTTTATTCAGATCATAATATATATATTCATATGCTGATATTCATTTGTGTATGTAGTTTTACGTTTAAAATATATACTATTTATATAATAAACACACTTTAAAATCAGATTTTTTTTAGTTGAATTTAAATTTTATTGAGCTCCAAAGATTTAGTTTGATAAGTTAGCAGCAGATGTTATATCTATTTAGTAATAAAAGGAAAATATTTATTTGATTTTTCATCACAGATATAGAAATAAAAATGAAAGTTATGTTTTTCATACCATTCATTTTTCATTTTTTATTTATGTATTTATTTAAATATATGTTTAATGAAACCCTTCGTCGAGGTATTAGAATGTAATCTGAAGTTTCCATTTCTTCATTTGCAGGAAATTTCTTCATTTCCATTCCATTTATTCATTTATAGGAAATACAAGAAAATCGAAGAAGGGATGTTCATATAAGTATCGCCCAACAGAGCTAAACACATAGTTGAGGAAATAGAAGCGACGGCTAGACTATTGCAATTCAAGTGCTCATGCTAGCATATAGTGAATAGCAATTAAAACGATTTTTAATTTTCAGTATATGGACGGAGAGGTGAACATTCAAAAATCTCTTCACGATACAAAGGTTCAAAAAAGCTAATCTGGTTCTTTTCTTTCACTAGGAAGTTGCTTGGCCTAGTGGAAAGACGCTGGGAGGTTCCAGTGTCATTAATGCGATGCTGAATGTGAGAGGCAACAAGAAGGATTTCGATGATTGGGCTGCCCAAGGGGCGAGAGGCTGGAATTACGATAAAGTGCTTCCTTATTTCAAGAAATTAGAAGACAATGCTAATCCTGAATACGTGAAAAATGGTAAACATACTTTGCATTTTGTATTATGTGATATTTGATTATTTTTATTTATTTTGATATGAACGCACTGCCCGGTTTGGGCAACTTCATCCAAATCGTACAAAAGAGCAGTATGCTTTTCTAAAATAACAAAGCATTTAGAACATGACCAATGGGCCTTGATATGTGCGTAACACAGTTTTTCATACAGCGTTTAAAATCGACGTGATCCATAATAATATACCTTGCTACTTCATGTAAAGTTTGTCTCTACCTTTCGAGTTAGGCCCGCACTATTGATTACTCGAAGGCAAATCAAGTTTAGAAGAACTAGATTTTCTTCTTCCAATAATCTACGAAGGCTTCAGGGTATTCGAAAAATCAAACTCTAGTAAATTCTACAAGGCAATTTTATATACACGAAACCATTTAGCACAAAGATTAAGATATGACAACAACTAAAAGAAAGCTAAGATTACGTGATGGATATTCCATACATTCAGAGTTATTCGTGGATTGTTCACAAACCCTACACTGATTAGAGAACACGAAAGAAAAATGTCGTAGATGTGGACGGACATCAGAATTTTCTCATTGGTCATACAAGTATAGTCCTGCCGCACTAACTGAGCAATTAGGCCTCAGTGTTGATGGAGAAAACCCCGCTAGGCGGTTAACCCTCTTCCTCTACTAGCAACGTCTCTAACCATACTACACCTTTACTACATGGCTTAAGTAACATAGTTGTATTCAGTGAGGCGCTCAAACAGAGTCCAACGCTGTATGTAAGGGCTGGAGAAGTGTGTAGCTTTTCGTTTAGCTAGCATGGAGGAGCAGAATACGAATGAAGAGCAATATGAATTCGTAGTGAGGCGTAATAAAAGCCAAATCAACTGAATACTGGAAGTCAAGACAGTCCTTACATGTCGAGTTGAGTATATGGTGAACTGCTAGCTGAGCATAACTGCAGACGGAGTGATGTACCCATTAAGAGGCATCAGAGGGCTATGATTAGCTATTAGTGGATTTAAGGAAAGTGAATATGTCAAATTAGGTAGGATTAGAGGCAGCAAGGGGAATCATTCCAGAGCCATACGTTTAGAAGTGTAAACCGGAAAATAGATGAGAACGGAGGAAGAATATGTAAGAGCATCAAAAAGGGGCGAGACAATTTATATAACGCGTTCAGCACTAGAAGGAGAGAAATCGATGTAATTTAGTATTACGTAAAATGTTTTACAGTTATTTGTTAGCAATGTCGTTAATTTCATTGATGATCTCAAATAAAAAAAAATTAAGAATTAAAAAAGAATTATCACTTGAGATGTCACAAGTTTCTAGTTTAGGCATATATTTCCTAAATATGTTCATAACTGAAAGATTATTTTTTCCAAAACAATGATTAATTTCATTTATATAACCGATAAACTCCATAAATTCAGGGATTTTGCTTGAGTTTTTAATTTTATCATGGTCCCTAATATTTGAGAAATTATTTGCATTGAGTTAGTTATCTATTGGAGTTTGCACTGTGATAGGCTGTTCGTGACTGCCTGCTGTTTAGTTGTTATCATCATTCGGTTTTATGATAGATTCTTTAATGCATCCTTTTCTTTTTAAAATAAAGTTACGATATTTTGGCATATTAATTTCAGATAGGATTATGAGAGGACGTGGGGGGATGTCTTAATGTTTCACAATTTATGCATTTAGGCAGGTCTGTTTTCACATTATTTAGACAATCTGCGGTTCTATGGATAGGGGACATTTAACACAATGTGGTTCAGATAGCAATTTGTCGAAGGATGATGCCGTTTCTGACAGTTATGACATTGGAGAATTTGGTTTTATGAAATAAATGTTTCTTCCGAAATGGAGAAGTACATAACAATCCATCAGATTATAATTTTTTTCAGGGTTTACGTTTCGAATGATGTGTACAAGAAATAAAGACATAGGAGCCTTTGGTTTTGCGCGAGTTAGTTGGCTAGTTTTTGGATATACAAGCTACATCCCAGAAGGGGGCTTAATTTTATTTATAACGATAGCGGTAAGAAATCCTATAATACTACTTTGACTGACCTTCTATATTAATTATTGATCACACTGTGTTATGTGCTTTTTGTAGAATAAAGAACTAATTTTTTTTCTGGTAGTTGTAGCTGAATGGCAGGACCTTTAGGCACTTGCAATTGAGTATTTCCAAGAATTTTACCGGGGCATTTATGCTAGGATGCTAAGAAATTCCTCAAATGAACATTCGCGTGGGTTGACCATTATGGGCGGTATTTCCAAGGTTTTCATATCTGGCTGCTGCTGGTTAGACTGGACTTCTGAAGGTGAATTGGCATTTTTATTTTCTAATGTGTTAAATTTGTTTTAAAGGTATATGGTCTACTTTCATCATGTTTAGGTTGCTTTGCAGTTTTACTGGCACATTTACACCTTTGTTTTTAGGTAGGAATTCTATGTTTGACTCTTTCAGAACTACCCCTAATCTTGGGCTAGAAAACAAATTCAACATACCCCATGTCAAAATTTGTTCTGCACTCCTATTACTTTTACCTTCTCCACTAGAATATGTCAGTGAGAGGACCTTTAAAAGAGTATGAGTCTAAGAAAGTTTAAGAAAGAAAAGACTTGTCACTTTTGCTGGCTATCCTGCATTGCTGTTCGGAGTTATCACTATTGCTGTCAGTTGATTAGTTCCTTCGGTTTGAAAATTTCGGGAAATAGTAATCATGTACTGTTGGGAAATAGTAATCATATACTTTCGGGAAATAGTAATCATGTACTTTTGAAAATTTCGGGAAACAGTAATCATGTACTTTTGAAAATTTCAGGAAATAGTAATCATCGAGCCAGGTACTAGAATCTATATTTAAACTTTTTGCATTATTAATAATTTAAATCATTGTTGTCCATATCTCTTGCAAAAGTTGGAAGTAAATTTTGTTAGTCAGTTTAGTAGTGAATTTTGAATTCTGAAGTAAAAATAAATTGTTACTTCTTTTATTTCTGTTGTATTTGCTTAATACTCTGACACTAATAATTACAAACTGAACGAAAATGTGTCTGGAAGTTTGTACTAGTATTTACTCTACGCCAAATTGATTATACAATTACTAGTCCCGTAATACATACGGAAAAGTTCGCAATATTTCATTTTAATTAAATAACGAAGAAACTGCCACTACTGCAGTTTCAGAACAAACCCTTTCTTTTGAATGCTTTTTTGTCCATTCTGTTTATCCGATGTAGAAATTCTCTTAACCATACAGCTCGCAACCAACATCTTGCCCTACTAGATGAGTGGTGCAATTTACTCTATGCCACTGTTTGCATTCTATGCAAAGAGAAAAATATGATAGCATAAATAAAATCTCCCAAATCAGAGCATACAGGCAGTAGAAGAATGATGATATGCATTGAATATCATCATTCATCTACTGCCCTTAGAATCAGAAAATTTTTTTTAAGTTATAAGGTATTCCTTCCTTACTGCGTGGCTTCGTGGTGTAAATGGATAGCACATCCGGCTAGCAACCAAGATGTTCGGTAGTCGAATCCTGGCAAGAGTACTGCACACATTTCATAATTCTGCAGCGTTTTAACCTAATGACTGAAAATTGTAGCTTTGCACAGTCATAAGGTTACAACGTGAATTGAGCTTCTGCATTTCTCTTCAGTGTTTCTAGTTAACATTGTAATTCATTACAATCTATCAGACATTATAATTCAGTAGCTCAGAAAAGGTTTTTTTGATATGCGCAAAAGTAACTAATGTGCTTGGAAAATTGAACGACTTTAGGTTTAGAGTTCGAGGACTTATGGATCTGAACAACGAGGTCGTTCAGCCTGTTTAGGACAGTTTAAACTGTTTAGGACCACCCCAAGGTGACTGTAGTTTAAGACAGAATCCTTTCCGTCCAGTCGGATTCCACAACCACACCTTGTCTCCTTCATTGAATCGATGTCCAGTGGCTCTGGTGTCATATCGGGTCTTCATCTTCTCCGTCGCCAAGTTGATTCGCTCTCGTGCAAAGTTATGAATCACTTTAAACCGAGCGTGGAGATTTTGAATGTCCTCCTGAGGCGATGAAAGCGCATTCGGAAGGCGACAAAACAAGAGGTCAGAAGACGCGACCGAAAAGCACCTGGGACGTAGAATAGTCGGTAGTCTGGTGTATCTCTTGCTCCCTAGTATGATTTCGGTAGCTTTCTGAGCAGGGTCCTTCAGACAAGTTTCCAGGAGAGGATCCCTTATGATGATGGATAGTTGTGTCTTCCGCTGCTGAAAGCAGTCTGTTGTTTTTGAAGTTCAAGGAAAAATTGTAGTTCCTTAAAAAGTCCAATCCGAGTATGCAAGAATCTGTAATATGTGCCACATATGCCGTGTGATAGTAGGCGACACTTCCAAACGTGATGTTTACGTTTAACTTCCCAGCTATGTCGATTCATTATCAGACGCAGTCAATGGGACGCAGTCTGAAGACATCCCGTGTTACCGTCAGACGCAGTCTGAAGGGTAAAACAGGAAGGTGTCCAAATAAGTTTATTTTTAAATTGTTGAGCTAAATCTTTCCGAATAATTGTAACATTATCTCCTGTGACAGATATCATATTGCAAGGAATTCCAACACTATGCCCATTGATGAACAGTCCATTACTGTTGCCACTCACTGCAGAAATCTTGGGCGCTTTAAAATGGGGTTTTCCACTGTCCTTCAAACTCCGGTCCTTGATATGATCATGAAATTGTTTCCTGCGTCTATGCTGGGAAATGGTGTTATTTTCCGTTTCCTTGGGGTGTTCTGCAGTTCCCTGGTACGCGGCCTTCAACATCGCAAATCCAGCACTTTAGTATTAGATTGTTTCCACTCCTATTCCGTCACAAGGCACTAACTGGTCTGGTCCAATCGTCTGTTTTATTTTCCGTGTCCTGGGGTATTCTGCAATGCCGTCGTATGTTGCCTTCAGTACCCCATCTCCAACACCTTAGAGCGAAACTTTTCTCACTCCTACTCAGTATCAAAGAATTCACTTGTCTGGATAAATTATCTAAATGAGCCATCAATTGATCCGCTGGCTCTTGGACTCGCGCAGCTCTGATTGGGTAGCGATCTGTACGAGTTGCTTGCTGGACTGAATCGAATTTCATCACTAGAATGCTTTTTACGTCCTTAATATCCACCATTCGCAGAGTTTTCTATATTTCGGGATTCCAGATGTCATTGATGAAGTATTGCAGGGACAGAATTTCCCTTGTTTCTCTCGCACACTCTGGAAAGGCGAGGTGGAACAACATCCATGGCGAGCTCCTGGAGTGTTTCGGTGGACTTCTGTTGACGGGAGTTTAATTGAAGCCTGCTGTAGTCTTTTAAACACTTCTCCCCAAAGCGCAGCTCCAACGCGCGGGACAGAGCTTCGAAATCTAGCCTTTTATTTTCGGGAAGAATCTGAAGGATATCTACTGCGTCTGCTCTTAGAGAAGCGGCGAGATGCAGGCCTTAGCGTGGGGATCCCATCCATTCGCTTCCGTCACTATAGAAGTTGTGTCTTATATATTTGCCAGGAGGTCTTGCCATCATAAGTAGATAACTTCAAAGAGGAACGAGTAAGCAGAGGTAAAAATTTAAATCCATCAGAATTCTTCCTGCTGTCACTATGCATTTCTTTATGGTGTCAACTTGTTTGGAGACGGCAGCAGAAACTGTTTTCAGTTTGTTGTTCCCCGACAGAAATTCTCTCTTCTAGTTGTTCTTTTACAGAAGAAAGCCTTTCTTCTATTTCTTCTTTTACCGAAGAAACTCTTTCTTCAATATGTCCAATTTTATCTTCCTCCGCGTGAATTAAGCCTTCCATAGCCTTGAATTTGTTTTCTATTATGCAGGTAATTTCTCTTTTCATTTCCTCTTGACCTGCCTCAATCTTTCTTGAATAGCCTTCATTTCTACTTTAATAGATAGTTGACTCGTTTTCATCTCCTCTTTAAAGGATTCTTGGCCAGATTTCATTTTGTTGGCCTCCTTTCACGTCTACGTTAAATGAAGCAAAGGCTGGAATCTGCTGTCTTAACTGCTCTTCCATTGCTCTTGTGATTGGCATTAAAATCCCACTTCTGACACCAAAAAGTGTTACAAGCGCACGGGTTCGTAACAAACTGAATTCACAAGTCCGATGAAAAGTGAATAAAATTTATTCTAATCACAACAAATAAAACAAAATTCTGAAATTTCCTCAGAGATATTCGTATAATATCGCAATATCTCACCGTAGTTATATTTTTAACTACTAAAACGTTGACTAGAACTCATTTCAAAACACTGAGAAAGCTAATCCGATCTCACTGTGAATTCGCTACAATCAATAATAGCACTAAGTAAACAACTGAAATAAGATGATTTTCTTCGGCTTTTATAAGCTTTTTAATCCTTCACGAGAACATTCTGGTATTTTCTCGATTTTTCTGGATAGCATAAGAGTACAATTACGAAATATCTATTTATTAAAATGATAAATGCTCGTGCACCTGTATTTTAAATTTTCCGGCTTAGCTTTCTCTTTAAATAAGTCTCGTGCTGCATTTCACGGGAATATAAAACAATTTTAATTAGAAATTCTACTAAAAATAGCTAAATAAATACAAAATCCGTAAACATATATATTGACTTGATGTCATTGTTCCAGAAGTAGTGTTAGATCAAGTATCACAAGAACTAATATCAAATATTCTTTTTTTGTTTTGTTTTATTTGGTACATCTTTTCTACCCTTTTCTAGTTACATCAATAGTATTACTTTTTATTTCCTAATTAGCCTTAAGAGTCTTAATGTCGCTAATACTGCATGATTTGTCTCTCCTTAATTACGACAGGGAAGCTGACATTTTTAAATGCATTAACAGGTTACCATGGAGTCGGAGGCCCTGTCACTGTTTCGCGACCTGAATATCATTCCAGACTAAAAGCAGCTGTGTTCGAAGCTGCGTGAAGTATGGGTTATGAAGTTCTGGATTCTAACGGCCCCACACAAACAGGTATGTGTATTCGTTTCTGCTTCGAATGAAATACGGTATGACACAATGGCGGACCGAAATGGATTAGCTTTCAAAATTTATTACTAGGCTTTTAATGGATTACTTTATTAGCTCAGTAAAGGCAGAAGGTTCTTGCGAAATCTTCAATAACAAAAATGATTATAAATTTGGTGAAAATATTAACAACATAATAATGACACAAATAGTTATTAATTATGTTATTATAAAACAAGCAATGATTTGAATAACTAATTTACATAGGAAAAATTTGCCTACGTTCTCCATCCGGGGCTACACATCATTCTAAATAACTGATTTGACCAAACTCAGTTGTGTTGCCAGATAACTTGATGAGAATAAATTCATCGCAAAAACTTTTTTTTTTTTTTTTTTTTTTTTTTTTGTTGTAAATGCTGGAATGACTTTTTTTTAGGCCACAAAAGGGCTGAAATGGGATTTTAGGTTGAATCAATGTAAATGCATCTTTCGCTTTCCATTCCAGTCTGTTGACATTCAGCAAAAGATAGCTTTCTTTCAAACTGAATCCCTTTGTTATGGCTCAACAAACTAAGCTATTTGGTTGTAAGAAAAGTTTCCCTCCAAAAACGTTCGGCCCACCAACGGCCGAGCGGTAAAGTCGCTGAACACTGGTAGTTCGGTCCGAGGTTCGAATCCCGCGAACGGGCTGGCTGCATGGGCGTTTTCGTGGTTTTCCCCATGTGTAACGTGTATACGAGCCAGTTTTCCTTAGAAAGTCCTCCACGAAAGGCATCCCTCCCCTTAGGCAGATAGCCCTAGTGTGCTTTGCCATAATTAAATACACCACCAAAAAACGTTCTTAATAAAGTTAGAAAAAAAAGCATTAAAGCAGTACCTTTAGTGCTGGTAGCAGTACCTTTAGTGCACCACCCAAATATATGATTTTTTGGCAACATTTTAGTAATTTTTCAGAGCCTTCGAGCCAGAAACTTGGTGGCAGTGAGTCCAAACCAGATCAACCTCATTTCGGACGTTCTGTGCAAAATGGAAAATAGCACCAGCAAGATGCAGCTGAAAGTGTGAAAAATGATAGAGGTCTGAAGGAGTGATGCCTGGGCTACATGGTGGCTGTGGCAAAAGATCCCATTGATGTCCGCAGAGTCCAGCCGGTGAATGCAGACACATGTGGTCATGCATTATCTTGATGGAAGATTACCTTTTTGCTCCAGAACTCAGTTCGATGTTTTTCCTTGATAGCAGCGTCAATACGGATTAGCATCTCGCTGTGCTTCTTACTCTCGAAAATTTTGACTTTTTACAGTTAGTCTTTGTGGATAATACCACTGCAATCCCACCAGATACAAAGCATGATCTTTTTGTTAGTCAAATTATGCTTTGCGACGCTGCCGACAGGCTCACCAAACGCAGATCAACGTCCTTTTCGGCCAGTGTTGTTGAAGTCAATCCACTTTTCATCACAAGTGAGAATTTGGTCCAGAATTTTGTCCTTGCGATGATATTCGAGCAGATCAATGCAGGCCCGAACACGTCTGTCCCTATCTGTTTGAGTCAGCTCATGCGGCACCCAACAATTGAACTTCTACGTCAAGTTTATGAGATGCACAGCGGGACTGATGGACATGGAATTAACGTCTAACACCTTAGCAAGCTGTCGAGTTCTCGTAGACGGGCTTCATCAACATCAGTAGGCCGGCCAGAGCACTCTGCTTTTTAAATTTTTGTTTTTGAACTTTTGGTTCTTCACAGTGTTGTATGATACAACATTAGTACCTAAAGCTATACACAATTCTGTAGCTGACTTTTTGCAACAAAACTGGAAGCAAATGATGGTTATAATCTGGTCACGTGATAGGTCCATTTCAGACACTTTGTATTTAATGATAAATTTACAAATTTCCCAACGCAGTGTCTCTTTCTTTCAGTTTCCAAAAATCGTTTGACAAAGTATAATTAAATACGCCAATGTGAACTCTTTGCGCATACGATATTTTCAGCGGCAGGAAATATTTAAAAGCAATAGAGACAATTCCTAAGAACATTCATTCCTTATCTTTGAATTGGATTAATTCAAATAATAAAAATGTATTTAATTCATAATCTGCTTCATTAAAAATATTCAGTATTTTTATAGAATGAAGTTATAGTTTTTATTATTTATTTTATATTTTGTAAAATTTTAATGAATTTTTGACTAACAATCTCAACGATTTGAAAGAGCTGTGGCAACACTGTACGAAATGAAATATTTTTATCTCCAGCTAACGACTTTTTTTAAATCTTTTGTGACTTCGCTGTTCAATTGAATTTTATGTGGTGGACCTGATATTTAATAAATGAAGTTAACATACAGAATATTAATGATAGAAAGACAGAAAAAAATTCTAAATCATATTTCTAAGAAAATTGGACATTGATATGATTGTGGTGTCATTAGGGTTTTTGAAATAGGAGAAGGGAAAAATGTGCAATGCCCTCGCCGGGACTCGAACCTGGACCTCTCGAATACGTGCTGAGCGTGTTACTGTAACACGACGTAGTCACGCATAAAGAAGGGAGAAAATAGCTTATATCTCCCCGTTTTAAAGGGCCAATCGCCAAATAGTGGAGGTGAAGAATAATCACCCACCACCTTTTTTAATGTAAGCGTCACTGTAGAGTTATTAAGATTTTTGACGCAGGAGAAGTGAGAAATGAGCAATGCCTTCACCGGGACTCGAACCTGGACCTCTCGAATACGCTTCGAGTGTGCTACCGTTACACCAAGAAGGTATGGTGAAAGGCCTCATATGATGAAAAAAATCTTATATGATGGAGAAAATACCTTATATGGTGATTTGTGAAAAGACTGAAAAAAAAAATAGAAAAAGGAATGTCATCACTTAAAACCGTTTCGAGAAATCTCAGCATATGCTCTTTTAAATGTGCTGCTTTTAAAAGTTTTGTGATTTTGCTATTGAAATGTATATGGCGTAAGTGCAAAGAAAACGATACTTAATAATAATGCTAAAAAACACACCAGCAAGTGCACCAGCGGATTAGTAGACTGCAAGCTCAGTGAGAGGGTAAAAGACCTTAGCAAAAACTCTTTTGTGTGAGCTTTAAAATCTGAAACTTTTCAAATTTCCTCACTTTTATTATTTTTTCTCTAATCCTATAACGGTATTAGTGGATAAACTTTATATATTATAACGAAAATGCTGAGATGATTTTTTTTTTCATTTCTTTTCTAATCGTATTACGGTATTATTCCATAAATACAAAGTAACCAAAAAATTCTTGACGTTATGGAGAGTCAGAAAAAAGTTCCAAAACAAATAATAATCCCGCTAATCCTGAAAATAATCATCATCGGCGTCCACTGCCTTTTTCTAACAAGTGGCTAGCTGTGCGATGCCATCGAGGTAAAACTCAGGAGTCGTTGATGCAAAGAAGTTCGTGAGGGTCTATTCGAAAGTCTGGGCCGGTTGTTGAACGATTTGCCACGAAGATGGTTATCCTCACTTTTATTAGTTTATTTATTTATCAGGGAATGGAAAAGGTGATAGTCCTTTGGCTCGAGGTCTGGGAAATATGGTGGATGGGGTAGTGTCTCCCAGCCCAGTCGCTGGATGGTGTCCCTAGCCTCCTGAGCCACATCCGGTCTCGCATTGTCATGAAGGAGGAATACATCCTTACGATTCAGCAATGCTGGTTCCTTATGCACCAGTGCCTGATGCGCACGTTACAACTGCTCCGATGATTCCAGGCCTGCTGTGATGGTTTAGCCCACTGGCAGGAGCTCATAGTGCACCAATTTGCGACTAGTCCACTACATACACAGCATGATCTTGCGTGGGTGGAGAGGTCTCGCATTGTAAACCACAGGGTCCTGTAGTGACAACCAATGTTTGGAACGCCTGGTGTGTCATACTGGACCCACGTTTCATCGCTGGTGAGTATTCGGTCAAATATGGATGTATTGCGGTGCCGAGTAAGCAATGACAAACAGGCAGCGACGCGCTGTTGCTTGTTTGCATCCGACAGGGAGTGGGGTACCCACTTGCTCAGCTTGTATATCTTTCCTATGCAGTACAAATGGAGTCTGATTGTTTCATCAGATACCTGGAATTATGCAGCAAGCTCACCACATGTTTGGCTACTCTGTATGGCTGCTGTCAGGGCCTCATCGTTCAGCGCTTGTGCCCGACCGCTGCGTGCTGCATCACTAAGATACATATCCCCTGATAAGAACTTCTGGAACCATTGCCTAGCGGTTCGTTCGTTAAGGACATCGTTCCCAAGTGCCTGGCAAATTCGGAGACTTGATTCTGCCGCTGACAGGTCCACTTTAAAATCATACAGCAAACAACTGACATGGTCCACTTTAAAATCATACAGCAAACAACTCCGAACGAGGGCCTTTGGCGCGTCCGTTTCAATCAGTCGCTGTATGAGTTATGTTGACAGCGCTGTATGAGTTATGTTGAGTTATGTTAAACAGCGGTTCCGTTTACCGCTGTTCGCCGCGCTTAGCTAGAATGTGAAGTCTAGCTTTTGCCGGCTGTCATGAAGTGTAGTTGCTTGAAGCGCTATAGGTGCTCGAATGCTTGAGTAGGTCCGGAGACAAGATAGGAGCTGGAAAGCGGGGGTGACGGCGGGTCACGTAAAGCAAAGAGACATCTGAATGGTAGTTCAGGAGGAAATTCCAGCATCTTAAAGTATAGCATCTTAAAATATCATATCATGATTTTTCCCATACAAAATAGGGATAATAGTGAAAATATGCACAATAAATAATAAGATTTTTCCTGACTACATATTAAGAAGGGAGAAGGTCACGTGAGTGATCTTCATGGCTGCATCTAATTGGCTTTTGACCGCAGAGTCCACATTACAAAGTTAACTGCATTAAATAAAATAAAATAGTGAAAAAAGCATAGTAATCACATTTTCCCCAGCATTGGAAGAGGGTATATAATAATAAAAAAGAGGAATGATACGATGAAGAGTAAAATTCAGCCCATATAAGATTAGAAAAGTCTTCACAGTCAGAGTCACGCGGGTTACGCCCATTGAAGAGTCCGATTCGTTACTATCAGCAGAGTCCGATTAACACAGAAAATGTAAGAGTAAAAATAAATAAGTAATAATACGATGAAAATCAAATATTTCTCGTATACTAGGATACTACATTCATGGGATAAAATAGAAGAAATGCATAGGAAAGCACTACAGTATTTACAGTAAGCCTGTAAAGAGGTTATCACACATGGCTACAGTCCCTGCTAAACGAGACTTTTCTGAGAAACCAGATTCTGGTAGCACTGGTTTAAAAGGGAGGATTCCTAGAAAAAAGAACCCCGCTTGAAGCGAAGTCCCGCCTAGCTATGGAAACAATGTTGCGGCTACGCGGGATTTTTTCAAACCTCACCGAAAATGTCTCGACTGGACCTCAGTCCCGGGTAGTTAGTTGCTTCTGAAGAGACAAACAATTAGACGAAAGTTCTGCTTCTGAAGCCTCACGTTATCTCAATCTGAACGATAATCGATTAGTATTTGGCGTTCAAGTCTTTGTAGTAAGTGAAAATGGTAACCTAGCTACGTGGGTTTCCTGAAATTGTGCGGGCTCTGAGAATTGTCCCTTTCGACGTCAAGTGCCGCGTAGCTGAAACATAATGTGATTGGGACTTTAAGCGTCAGCGACTAGTCACATGGGGGTCACCCACCCCGGTGCCGATGCAACGAGCTTTTATACTCTTGCTCAATGTCCGGACTCCCATCCTAACCACTTGATCGCCAGGTTTGGCGGCAATTTTTATGTTGGAGTTTACTCTTCCAATGTTATATCAGAAACGGTCATATCAGAAATTTTTTTGGTTACCTTGTATTTAGACATTATTACGAAATACGTACTGTTTAAAAAACCTCAATTTCGGATGATGTGATAAGCAACATATAGTCTTAAAATTTGGAAATCTCATTCAGCGTCTCTTATCATCTGTAGTTTTTAGATTGACTCACCTCATTAGTTTATAACTGCTTTCAAGTAATGAACGTTTATGTTGAAACTCAAATTAAGCGTCATGTTCATAATTTTTAATTTGGGAGAAATGTTTTCATACTTAGTAATACTTTATAATTGTTATTTTTTATTTACCATGCTTTACTTCTGCTTTTTGAAATTAGAAACGCCTTTAACATAATCTTTTCAAAATAGTAGAGCAATTATAGTGTTACATTACTTTAGCTGCCATGCATTTATCATTCATATGACTTGCTAAGCGATGCCTTACGATATTATCTCTTATGCGGTAGGGGAACAAGCTCTAAAATCCTTACCCTTCAGCAAAATTTTATTAAATTTATAAGAGACCTTTTATTTTATCTTTCAGATTTTTTTGAGGTTTTAGTTACCCAACAAGCTGAGAGATTTGAAGATAATAAACGCATTTCTCTTATAGTGGTATATTCAGCTGATAAAATTTAAATTATTGCAGCTAAAATTGTTCCTTTCGACTGAGCATATTGTGGCTTAATGGGTAAACGCAGATTTTGAAACGCATCATAGGCAAGTTACTTCCAAATTGAGTTTTGTTTAAATTTCCTTCCTGTTAATTTATTTCATTTATTGGAGAATATTATTTCATTTCTAGAACCTTTCCAGTCTAGAATGTTCCAGCTGTTCCATCAAGTATATTAAATCATTACTTATTCAACTTGAATAAGTAATGATTGAGACTTGAGTAATTTCTTCTTCATTTGTCTTAATACGATCGATCACTTCATCTATGTGGCAATATATTTAATTTATAACACATCCAGTTGATACAATTTATAAAAATTTGTAGTGTTATTATTATTCATGCAATTTTTTTTTTACCGCCATATAATCACATAACCTCTGTAGAGAAACCGCCCCCTTGTCAGGTTCATTGTTTCCCATAGTACCTCTTTAAAACATGTTCCTATCTTTCATCCCTTTTGTCATTTCCAAATTGGAAGATTCCAAAGCGGCCAAAACTGAAGACAGTAGGGGATAAAAACCTAATCATTCCCAAACGGATGACTGAAGTATGAATTAATGAGTAATTTAATATGATTTGAACTACAGTCATTCGACTGCATTTTAATTCATACAGGATTTCATTCATTTTAATTCATACATTCATACATAATTCATAAAATTTGTTTCTGAATACAAATTTTTATTAACGATTGTTTTATATTAAGATCAAACCCCTTTTCCAATATTTTCGGCGCCCTACCAAGCCTCCATGTAATTTAAACATATTAATTTTTCAAAGAGTAATGTACCATTATTTAGCCCTTTTCAGTATACAATTTTTTTAACATTTGCACTCTATTACAAATTTACGAGCCTTTCGTAAGTAGTAATCGCTGATAATAGTATCGCACCGTAATTCTTGAGCAAATGATAATAAGCCTTCTTGACTTAAATATGGCATCAAACAAGTTTTTATCAAATTTAGCTCATGAAAATTGCTCTTCGTTGTAGATACTAGAACAATGACGAAAATTCATAGGGTTTTAAAGCTCACTAATTTTATAATGAATTAATAATTTCCCTGCATCTTTAAACAGTTGGTCTGACATTAATGTTCCGCATAATGGTGTTCAAAAATCGTTCCCACCTTTTCCACGCTTTAAGCATAAACTATTTTTCAAGGTTATTTCTGTTGCTTTACCAGGACTTGCGAAAATCATGTCAGAGGACTTCGGTGACCTATATAATTGCTTATGTCGTCCTGGATGGAGCTGGTCCTGATTAAGATGATGATATATGTAAGCTATTGTAAGAGCTAATATTTTATTTATTTGTTCCCGTTTTTCTAACCAAGGTTTCTATGATTTGCAAGCAACCATTCGCAGAGGCCAGCGTTGCAGTGCTGCAAAGGCCTATTTAGTACCGAGTGACCAGAGAGAAAATCTGGATATTGTCGCCGAGGCCTTTGTGAAGAAGGTGAGTAACAATCTGATGTTTACTTTGTAGGGTTTATATTTATTTTAACTAACATTTATTTTAAGTTTAAACTACCTTTCCTGTCAAGCCTTACTTTCCCCTGGAACTGCCAATGCCAGAGTATGTAAATTTTAGTAGAACGCGCAAGGATTCAAATCATCAGCGGAAGTATTCTGAGTTAAATAGAAAGGAAATGAGTTCGAGGTGTGCTGTTCTTACTTCACGAGCGCGGAGGTAGTTAGCCAGAAATTGAAGAACCCCGCGTTTCGGCCTGTGTGTGCTTGCCTGGAAGTATTGTTAATCGTTCAAGTGATCTTCAAGTTTGCTGAATTAGCAGCGGTATTGTAAAAACGCGGTGAGGTTAGTTACTTTTAGAGAGCCTCGTAGTTAGAGTCTTGTCTTTAGTTTCTTTTCAGGTTATTATTTTTATTTGACCGCCGAGTTGGCGTAGTTTGTGAGCTTCAAGAGCACGCACTTGTAATTTATTACGTTGAATGAAAAGGGACTTAAACCCTTAACAAGACTCTGTCTTTTACCCAGTTTTAACAGTCACCTCTTGGTTGCGTGCAAGTTGGAGGCGCGGAACGCTACATTGGCGCCCGAACACTTATCGAACTGAAATGGCCGAAAATTGGATGGAAGCCGCTGGACAACACCAAGAAATGACAAGCCAATTGGAAGGATTTGGATACCTGGTCCAGACTTTGAGAGCGTCAATCAAGCCAAACATCAACTTCGACGGAAAAAATTCGGTGGCGATATTTCTAGAAGGCCTAGAAAATCACTTTCAGCTCTACCCTGTGCCTGAAAGACAAAAAGTTGCCATCGCCACATCCGCACTAAGAGGACAGGCCGCGCTATGGTGGAAAAATATAGGCAAATTTTTATTAGGGGAATTTGGAAGCCAGACATATACATTTGAAAATTTCAAAAAAATCGTTAGTAAAGGCCTTCCCCATAGTGAAAGATCGAGCAAGGCTGGAAGCCGAACTATATAGTTTCTATCAACGGGATATAGAAGAATTGACGGACTTTATTCTACGAAAAATTAAGCTGACGGATATGCTGTATGGGAAGAAACCCGATGCGGAGATTATTGAAATAATCTTAGGGGCAACGTATTCTCAAAGTACCCGAAGGAAATCTTCAAATGAGGAAACCAGAAATGGAAATCGCTCTTATGTGGAAAAGAGCTATCAAGCTAACTCATCGAAACTCGAAGGTCAAGGCCCAAAAAGAAAATTCGAAAATAAACATCCGCGTACCCAGAAGGCACAGATTGAAAGGAAAGCTTTAAACGAGTAGAGGGGCCTGTGAAAGGGAGCGTCCAGACCCCGGAAGTTTTAAAAAAACCCTCAAAAAGACATTTAAATACGGTCATCGTAAAAAAACTCACATCTACCAATTATACAAGTCCTGGTTGGCGATGTACCAGTAGAAGCCCTCATCGATACAGGAGCAGAAGGAAATTTTATGAGCGAAAATTTCTTCAAAAAGAATTTTTATAGGGTACGATTATTTAAAACCAAAAATACGGAAATTATAGCGGCGCAAGGAAAAACATGTCACTGCATCGGGAAATTATCATTAAACATACAGGTAAAAGAGGAAAGCCTCAAAGTATTAATTTTTGTAGTGAAGAATCTGCAAAATCCTCTTATTTTAGGTATGGAGTTTTTAAGGGCCGCGAGGGCCAAATTGAATTTTCAAGACAGTTCCGTGGTGCTGGAGATGGACCAGAGGGTGGTGGAACCTGTGGAGAAACCGCAAGTGGACCTTAGCCATCTGAATGACCATGAAAGGCAAGCAATACAGCAAGTGGTGAGTAATTTTTCTAACTTGTTTTCAGAAAAGCCGGGAAATCGTCAAATAGTTACGCATAAGATACAATTAAATGCCGAAAACCCTTGTAGGACTAAACCTTATCGGTACGACAAACAAAAAGACGTAATCATCGAAGAATATATTCAGGAGATGTTAAGGAATAAAATAATAACGCCCATAAATAGTGAGTACGCGAGTCCAGTCGTACTATGTAGGAAAAAGAACGAGTTTCCTCCTTCGGATAAAAGGGGTTGGAGGTTTGCTATCGATTACAGAAAACTAAATAGTATTACTAAATTTCCAGTTTACCCTTTGCCGGTTATAGAGGAAATTATTAGACAGATCAAATCGACAAGATACATGTCTACTTTGGACTTAACGTCTGGCTACTATCAAATAGCTATGAGACCCGAAGACGTACATAAAACCGCGTTTATAACAAAATCGGGCACTTATGCATTTTTACGCATGCCCTTTGGGTTGTGTGGGGCCCCATCAACATTCCAGAGAGCTATGGACATTGTTCTAAAGCCTGTCCTAGGAAAATCAACTTTTTTCAATTTATCTAGATGATATAATTATAACGAGTAGTACGTTGGAACAACACATTAATGATCTAGAACAAGTTTTAAAATTATTAAAAGAGGCCGGTCTTACAATTAACGCCTCAAAATGCAAGTTCGCAACTAAAGAACTTAAATATCTCGGTTATAAAATTTCGCAAAAGGGTATAGAAACGCAAGATTCAAAAATAAAAGCCATCAAGAATTTCCCACCGCCCAACACCGCCAAGAAACTTTCTTCTTTCCTTGGGTTATGTTCTTACTATCGGTCTTTCATAAAAGATTTCGCTAATATTGTTGAACCACTCTTAGTAATCAAAAGAAAGAGAGGTAAATTTACGTGGACAGCGGAAGCAAATACAGCTTTTGAAAGATTAAAAGAAGCGCTCATCAATGCCCCTGTTTTAAAATTCCCGGAGGGGGACGAAAACCTGGAAATTGCAGCAGATGCGTCAGACTATGCGGTGGGTGCGGTTCTTATGCAAAATAGCCATCCTCTGGCATTTTTTAGTAAAACATTGAATCAGACACAAAGGAATTATACAGCTACAGAAAGACAAACATTAGCCGTATTAATGGCTGTACACAAATTTCGAGTTTATTTCGGCAAGGCGCCAGTAACAGTCTTTTCGGATCATGCGGCTGTTGGTAGACTTTACTCGGGGAAAAACCTAACGCCCAGGTTAATAAGATGGGCTTTAAAACTCCAAGAATATAATATCAGAATAAAATATAAACCGGGTAAGGAAAACAATGTAGCTGACGCACTTTCTCGTATAAAACTGGACGATGAAGGAAATAACTTAAATGCGCTGTGTTGACTTCAAAAATTTTAGATTCTAGAGATACGATTATTACTGAACTGAAAGCTGATCCTGAATTTGAAAATATCTATGCATATTGGAAAGACCCCGAAAGCTTTGAGCACACAGATATCGATGCGATAAGAAATAGAGCAGAAAACTATGAAATAATAGATAATTTATTATTTTATACGAAAACAACAAACGAAAATCTTGAGTACAAACCAGTCATCCCAGCCTCGCTTCGATTAAGCATTTTCAAGGAATTACACGACGCGAAAACAGCGGGTCATTTAGGGGTCAGAAAGACTTTAAAAAGGGTACGCGAGGCGGTATATTTCCCGCAATTATACAAAATAGTAACTGCGTATGTCAGGTCCTGCAATCGATGTCAGTTAATAAATGATATTAATTACAGCCCGGCCGGGTACTTAAATAGCATTCGTGCTACATTTCCGAATGAAATTTTAGGCATAGATCTTCTTGGTCCCTTCCCCCAGAGCGAGTTAAATAAAAATCGTTTTCTTTTAGTAATAGTAGATCATTTTTCAAAATGGACAGAAACTGTTCCACTTAAACGCGCGTCAGCCAAAACAGTCGCAGATGCATTCTTACACAGATACATTTTAAAATACGGTGCACCGATAAAAGTCATTAGCGATAACGGAAAACAATTCATTAGTCAAATATTTGAAAACATATGCAATGGACTTGGCATACGCCATATCAAAATGGTTCCGTATAGACCACAGGCAAACATAGCAGAAAGAGTGAACATAAACATAGTAAACATAATTCGCAGTTACGTGAGCACACATCACAAGCGCTGGGATGGCTACATAAATGAATTAGCTTATGCTTTAAGAACGGCAAATCACGATACTACGGGAAAAACCTCAGCAGAATTATTTTTAGGCAGAAAGTTAATTACACCTTTAGATAAATTATTCTTTGTGCAACAAAGAGAGCAAGAGTTTAAGCAAAAAGATGTGCAAAAACTTATTGATCATGCGCTTAAAAGCTCGGATACGGCAAGAAATAAGCAAAAAGCATATTATGATAGAAAACGCCGTGAAGCAGATTTTAAAGTTGGGGATAAAGTATTGAAGAAGCGGAAATTTTCTTTATCAAGTGCCCCAGACAATTTTACGGCAAAGCTAGCTCCAAAATTTGAAGGCCCCTATGTAATTCAGGAAATCAAAGGAGTCGTATTATATCTTAAGAACGAGAGAGGGGAGATCTGTAAAGCAAGTCCCGACCAGGTGAAAAAATACTATAATCCAAATGATTTTGAAATCCTTAAAAGTTTCTTGCAGGACTCAAGTCTAAACGAAGTAGAAGGTCCAGAAATAACAACAACTGTTCCACCACCCAAGAAGCAGAGAACTGAAGAGAGACCTAGCCCTTCTACAACCCGGACGACGGTACCAAAAAGAAAAAATAAAAACTTTCAAACTCCAGCATTTAAGAAAAACAAGAAGGCAGATGCACCGCGTAAAGAAACCGTGGTAAAGAGCAAAACACCACATACAACGTATCGCAGGAGAAATTATACATCAAGGAGAACGCTCCCAGGGCCAGAGAGTCAGGTGCCAGCAAGGCCGCCGTTCCGGAAACTGAAACGGCAACAGGAGGATTAAAAATACCAGGAACAACAGAAGAAATTCAAGAAGGACTCCAGGCCGGAGGACGTCAAGACCAGCCGTCCCATGGAAAAACGGAAACGACAACATCCCGACGATTACTCCGCCAAGAGGCCAGCATGCAGAGGACGCAAAAAAAAAAACTAATGTGGACGACACTCGGAGGT